ACACTATGTTTTAATTATGTATTCATTTAAAGCTATTGATGAAATACCCATTACTGTGCTTATAAAGTAAGTACAGACACAGAGGCACCATCTGACTGGCTGCAGTTTTTTTCTCTGTTTTTTTTCATACAATAAATAACAAGCTGTACTTGTTTGTTTTACGTCAACCACATAGGTGAAAGGGTGAACTCTTTTAAAGCTCAGGATGTGTACAGCTTTGATGAAGACAACAGTGACACTTTATCACCAGAGGAGAAGTCTTCCAAACAGGAAACTCCCAGATCCTCCTCCTCCTCTTCTCTGAGGGAGTCTGAGGAGACCAGGGTCACTTCTTCCTCCCTTCAGCTAAACTCTCAGGTAAATCACGTACCTCCAATCAAACAGCAAGTTCGGATGCCTTTTTTGAGGCCATTTGAAATCACGCTACTTTTATAAGTGGCTACGGCTGACCTACTTTTTTAGGGAGGAAGATCAACAAGTAAATCACTCTAAGCAATTCTATTTCCTCTGTTTGTTTTCATAGCATTCCCCTCCATCATCCGATAAGACACATTCATCGGCAGATTTAGCCAAGCTCATCTCCACCAATGATCAACAAGGCAACACACAGGCGTCTGCGCCTCAACCCAAAGCCACTGTCGGTCCCAGTGTCTCACCTGGACCAGTTCTTGTGAAGGTGAGGTTAAGTATGGATGCCGATATTTTATACAGTGGAACCTCAGTTTTCGAACTTAATTCATACCTGAAGGTCGTTCGTGAACCGAAAAGTTTGAAAACTGAAACAATTTTCCCCATAGGAATCAATGTAAAATGGACGAATCCGTTCCTGAATGACCGCTTATTCAAAAAAGATAAACACAACTGAAAAACTAATAAAGCTATAAATAGGAAAGGCAAATTCATTCATCCTTAACGGTGCGGAGGAGTCGCGATTGCGCAAGTGGAGGGTGGAGAGGAGGTGGAAGGGAGGGGAGGGATGTCATTGTTTGGAAGCCAGATGAGGCAAGACTGATGCCACACGCTGAGTCACTCAGTGCTGCCCGTGTGGTATTGTTGGCGAGTTATGGCACGACAACCGGGGAAATGTTTTTGTTCAGAATTTTGTCCGACAACCATTTTGTTCAAAAGGGGAAGCGTTTGACATCGGCAGTTTCCACTGTACTTTGTTTTAAACTTTGACCCCTTATTCAAAAAAAGACGTGTCCCAGCTGCCCAAGACTGTTGTGTCCAAGCATTCACGACTTAGGCCTGACTTGAAACCCTTGCAGATTGATTAGGCTCTACTTGAACTTTTCCTTTGTTGCTACTTGGGTTGACCGACTCGAGAGACTCGACTGAACCTTTCCTCCTTATCTATTAAAGATTGTTTTACCTGTTTTCTTGGGAATAACCAAACATATCAAAAGACAGAAGGTCTGTGTTTTATCTTTGAAAGTCCACATCATTTCAGAGCTGAACTGTAATTTAGCATTCAGCCAAGTCAAACATTAAAAAAAAAGCAGTTTCAAATCTTTGCCAGACAACGTTTTTTTCCTCAGCCAGTGATGAAAATGACAGGCAGGAACTCTTAAAGGCTGTGTAAACTCTCATCTACAAATCAAAGGGTTTGAGCGAAGCGGTAACTCGTCCATTTATCTTAATTCGGTTTTCCTCCAAGCAGAAGATGACCTCTCCCTCCCTAGGGACTCGGAACACGAGCCAGTATTTGACAAATTGTTGGTGGTGTGTTTTTGCTCAAACCTAACTGGAGTTTTATGTTTCGTGGTACTAACCTGCTGCTTCTTTGCCAGGTTATATCCATGTGCATCCTGTACACGCAGGTGGTAAAAAAAAAGTTACGTTTCCACCACCCTATTTCCTTATCCTGCAGCTTTCAACGGGTGCTAAACAATATTCCACCTAAGAGCTTTACAAAAAAAAAAAAAAACATTCTGCTACAGACCTTTAACGTTGGTACAGGGGCGTAACTCAGATGACACAAAGAGAAGATGTGAAACTAGAAGTGGATTAGAGTTTGTGTAATGTTGGCCACAAAACAAGAGAAATGGCTGCAAATTATTATAATAATAATTATTATTGTCATTATTATAAATGATTAAAATTACAGATTACATGTAAAAATATCTGTAGGCAATGTCAAAATTCAAACTGAAATTGCCTAAAATGTTAATACAAATATTTGTCTTTTTCCCAGCAAAGTGAAAACAGATAGAAGTAGCATAATGTAAGATTGTAAGTTGTGTATATATACATATATATATATACATACATATATATATATATATATATAGTATATACATTATTTATATATACTTATATATATTCAGTATATAAACATTTTTTTATATTATTATTATATATGTATAATGTACTACTTTATACTATACTATGTACTACTGAAGAAGTCAAGGGATATGTAACTACCGTATAGCGAAAAACCAAATAGTTCCATAGAAAATGCAAAAAAAAAAAATTTTAAAAATTAGCTAACTGCTGTAGTGAAAAGACAAAAGGTAGAGGAAAAAACGGTTTGAAAAAATAAAACATATGGTAATAAAAACCTTGATGTGGAAACAAATAAATAAATGATTGTATTAAAATTAATAATAGCCAAAATGTCAGTTATGGCCAATGGATGACCAAAGATAGCTCAAAGCTAAAAGTTAGCCTCGTAGAAACAAACATTCTAAACAGGCCCTAATAAAATGCGATTTTTCTAACACACCTGGTTTCCTCCTGGATTTTTATAAATAATGATCTGTCTCCTGCAGCAAACCCTTCCCAAGCTACCTGGAGACAAGGGTCGCAGCAAAAAGAGCAAAGAGCCCAAACCGTGGATGAAGAAGCTGAAGTACCATCAGTACATACCACCCGATCAGAAGCAGGAGGTCATTGAAATGCCCATGGACTCCGCTTATGCCCGCCTCCTCCAGCAGCAGCAGCAGTTCCTGCAGCTCCAGATCTTGAGTCAGCAGCAGCAGCAGCAGCAGCACAACTACACTGGAAGCCTGCCTTCCACGATAAAGTATGGCTGCATCCTTTCATTTTGCTGAGACAAATTTTGGAGACATATATCAAGGCAACACGCCCTAGTTTTGTCAGACGGTGCCCAAGTTATACATGTAAAAAAACCCAATATGTACAACAAATGTGGACGTCTCCTTCTCTGGCCTGTAGTTGGCGCTAAGTACACATATATTTGCATTGTTTTGTACAGCTCTACGTTTATAAACTGGTGGCCCAGCATTGTTAAATCCAGCCCGCGACTGGATTCCAAAAAATGTGAGGAAAAGAAAGGGAAAATATCGTGTGTGTCAATAATCCTCACTATGTAGCACTCTGACTAGTTAAATTCCAAAATGAGGCAAGTTCACCAAAAAATCTATTTTTATTTCTTTTTTATTTGAGTGCCTGGCCCTCAAGTTGTTTGTCCAGAAAAATTCTGACCCCTGCTATAAACCGTAATATTTCCCAAAAGAGATAAAGAATACATTTAGGACAGGAATGAGCAAACTAAGGCCAAACTAAGATAATATTTCCCAAAAGAGATAAAGAATAAATTTAGGACAGGAATGAGCAAACTTTTCCAAATTATATAATTTATTTATATTATCATATAATTTGCCCACGTTTCCCCAATAGATGGCGTCGAAAATGATGTTATCATTTTTAGCCTTTATGCTTGACATTTACATGATTTATCTTAGTTCACACGAACGCTCCATCTATCTGCTCCTGATCTGGCCCGCGACTCAAAAAGTTTGCCCACGCCTGATTTATGGTGTTGATTTATTGTCTATAATTCATATTAAATGCACACATAAAAGAAACGTAGCACTTAGCATATTAGCAGCACGCTGGAATCTAGCGTGCTTTTTTAAAAAAGGAGTAGTTCAAACTCTTGTGCGTGTGACCACAGCTGAAGTTTGTCTCAAGTACTTGACATTTTCCATCCGCTTATCACATGGAAGGCGTTAATCGTTAATGATGGAGCGGAGCTTGAATTCTGCTCTCGTCCTCTTTTGTCTCATTTCAGCAGAACAGAAACAGAGGTACAAACCAGCTGCTCCGGTGGAAACGCTGCCTCCGCCCAGTACGTGCACGGGAACCACAAGCTGTATCATTTACCGGCAAATCTGGACGAGATGAAGGTGACGCAGCGCGCATGCATGCAGCAGACGAACCCGAGTAGAGCATATTTGTAATATTCTGTTCTGTTTACAGGTATCTGAGCTGAAAGTGGAGCTGAAACGCAGGTCTCTGCCTGTCTCTGGGACCAAGACAGATTTAATAGATAGGCTTAGGCAGTATGCGGAAACATCCAACATCCAAACTAACACTGCTGTGGAAATGCCGGCCTCGCAGTTGACCCCACCTGTCTCCCCGATTGCCACCAAGGTGTCCAGTCTAGGCCTAGAGGATAGTAGCATGGCAGACACCAGGGCTGTGTCGTCACAAAAAGCGCCGCAGGAGGAGTTTTATCCAGAGAAGTCTTACTGGAAGGACTCAACGCATTTGAGCGAGAAAGACTGTGAAAAGGACAAACGTCTCTACGAGAAAGAGCGTCAGATCGAGGAGCTGATGAGGAAGCTGGAGCAGGAGCAGAGGCTGGTGGAGGAACTGAAAATGAAGCTGAAGGTGGAGAAGAGGAACCAGCAAATAAATACTTCACCTCGGCTCAGTCCTCTCCCTCCGGCCCAGATCAAAAAGGAAACCTGCCCTACATCCTGCAGTTCTCCTGCTCTGCCAATGTTGGTGAAACAGGAAGAGGCTGCAGACCTGGGCCACATGTCTCCCCCGGATCAATTCATCATCAGCAATCAGACCATCAAGCAGCCTGAGACTCTGCTGTCTGTGCAGGCCGGGCCACAGATCCTGCTGCCTGCATCTCTTCCCACTTCGGCGTTCGCCATCCAGCTTCCAGCCAACTGCATCAAATTAAACAATGCTGTTAGCAGCGCACCCCCAGGTCTGGCCCAGACGTCTGGACAGCATCCACAGAAAACAAAGACACCAGCAGCTTCGCAGCAACAAAGCAGTGCTCACACTCCGCCACCTGTAGAGGTGAGGAAATACACGCCGACGCGGCCTCGCTCTGCCTCCCTATTAGTCGTCACTATCGGCCGCGGTGGCATTCGTAGTTACGATTCCTTCAAAACATACAAACGGTTGCTCGGACTTGAAAAAGCGTCACCTGAAATCACAAACGTTGTTATTGTTGGTAGATACACACTTGGAAACATGCAGCATGTTCTGAGTGATGTCTGCCTCCGGCGCCCCTCGCTGCCCTCGGTCGTCAACCAACTTCCAGTCTGGTCCAGCGTGAAGCCAGAAATAGCAACAGAAACCGCTGCTCCACATATGTTTTGCACTTTTGGTCAGACTGCACAGCAGTGGGTTTTTTTTTATGAGGAGAAGGGAATGTGATGATGCTTCACCACAATTAGGGTTAATTTTTACTGCTTAGAGCCACACTGTGACACTTTAACACTGAATGATTCTTTTCATCTGACATGACCGAACAGGACATTACTCCTCAACTCGATGGGACTGATTCAGGCTGTTTGAGTTTGAGCTCCCTCCATATGTTTACACGGACGCAAATATTTAGAGTAAAACCCTGTTCGTCATTGAACGGTGGTATTTGAACGCACCAGTCCGAAAACCGTGGAGAAAAAGAGCTGATTTGGAAAGAACTTATTCAGAAGGAAACCAGGTTAACATGGAAATTAGCATTAGCAAAATTACCATCAGCACTTATCACACTGCTAACAAAGAATGCAGTTTTGTTTAATCATTATAGCATGCACTTCTCCTTTCTTCTCCCTGGCCCGTACCTGTAGGTGGTGCTAAGTAGGTATTTGCGAGCTGTGTTGCATATTTGAGTTTACTGACACAACATTTTATGTTGAAGTCTATTCCTCTAAACTCAGTCAAAACGTTCTACTCTTAAACAATATAATTCATTCAGGGTGGTATGGTCCAATGATGCTAATGTGGCGCGTTATTGACATTATTAGCATTAGGTGTGTTAGCAGCATTTTAGCAGCACACAAGCCCGTAGCAAATTAGTGGCATGTTATTGTTATGCTAGTAGGCGTATTTTAGCGGAGTGTCAGCTATTGTGCTAGTATTTAGCATTTTACACTGAGAGTCGGTCTTCGTCATGGCAAAGTCACTGTCCATGTTTGGGGCTTTGCCTGCAGATATGAATCGTATTACGTGCATTACTGCCACCTACTGGTGGCCGATTTTATCACTGGTACATAATTTATCTGAAGAATGTCCACTCACTTGCAACAGAACAGAAAGAAAGAAAAAAAATAGTCCCTTATTCGTCCCAAAAGGGAAATTCAGTGTCTTTGCCACCAACACACAGGAGTCGCTGTTAAGTATGTGGGTTCAACTGCAAGTATGTACCATTGCGTATGTGGTTCCTCTGGGACTTGAACCCAGGACCTTCTGTGTGTAAGGCAGATCTATTATCCTCTATGGGTCCACAAATAATGTCAGAAGTAACATTTAGAAACTGTTTTTGGGTTACTTTGTTCGTGTATCCAGCATACTACATCTGGATTTGAACCCAGTTAACCACCATGACGTGCTGACGTGCTCCAAATGCTCTCTCTGCAGAATCAGAGGATGAACTCAGCAGCGCAGAACTTACTCGGCACATTCCCAGGAAGCAGTTGTTCTACAGGACATGCCAGTAAGGTGCAGGATGATCTTTATCATTTTCACCATGTGTAGTATGTGCTCTAAGATAGATATTATTTGGTTTGTGCGTTTGTTGTTCGTTTGCAGTTGATTTTTACAACAAAAGTTTTGTCAATTTTCACCGATGTTTGTTCTACAGTCTCCCAGTCACGGCCAGCCGGTGTTGACCGTGCACCAGCCTTCATTCACAAACCACGTGTCATCGTGCAAAGACCCGCCTCGCTACGAGGATGCTGTTAAACAGACACGCAGCATGTTAACGGCTGTGCAGGTTAACAAACGAATTTTTAAATAAAAAAAAATTCTTTCTTATCCATAAATTATTTTAAGGTGTTTAGCACTCACTCACTGTTTCTATGCAGAGTCCCAGTGCAGCGAGTCAGCAGATGGATGATCTCTTCGATGTGTTGATGGAAAGTGGTGGTAAGAATTCCTTCTTATCCAAAGACGATGAATCGAATTTATACCGTATATTTGTTTGTACAAATCACTTAAATTTGTTTGTCCCATCTAATTAAACACAGAAGAAAGGGTCTAAAAAGGCAAGTCCAAACAACACAAGTAAGGTCCTAAGACCAACCACCTAATAGCGATACATAAATGACAAATCGAAACTTAAGACATTATTATTTTTGCCTTAATGTGGTGACTTAATTTGTGTATACTCGGGGTCCTTGGTTTATGATGTTTTTTAACCTACGGCATGTCGTGGTTTTGTCGCCATCTCCCATAAAGTTATTCAGAAAGTCTTGTTCCATCATTCCGACATATGGCTTAAAACTCGCCAACTAATTCGGATGGGAATTAGTTAGCAAGCAGAGCCGATGACTACGTCATCACATGGTGCTTTACGCAGATGACAACTTTGTTTACATTCGGTTTGTCATATTTTTTTTGGTCACTTTTTGTCCTTCATCAAGACTCCCAAGCGTAAGTCAGGCTCTTCTGGTGTTTTTATGTCCTAGATTATGATGTTAGCACTGTGTTAGCGTAAGTTAGTGACGTAGGTACTTATGTACAGTATGTGAGTACCGACTTGCGATAATAAATTGAGTCGCATTGAACTTTGAGTCGAGGCCCCCCTGTGGTAAGTTAGGTCATAACAACCAAAGTCTTATTTTCATTTTTTATACATGTGTTTCTACTTTTTGCTAGAAATCTCACCCTTCATCAAACAGGATCCCCCCACCGTGGGCCAACCCATCCCTGTCACTGCCAACGTTACCATTCTTCCTGTCAGTACAGTTCTATCCAGACCTCCTCCCATGGTCCATGTGGCCCACGCACCTGCTGAGGTAGCGAAATCTTCAAATTGCTGCGCAACACTGTCACCCGACCCCCAGCTGGACACACTCTTCAGCTCAGCTGCTGACCATCAGCATACGCTGAAGCTCATTGACGCCCTGCGCTCACCCATGGAAGCGGACTTTAACCAGGGCTCACCTCCGTCTGCTTTGACCTTACACATGAACAACATGGAAAACATGGACTGGCTGGACCTGACACTTGCTGTGCCAGCAGAGGGCATCCACTCTTTGGACATGTCCACGTCAGTGGGCGTTTTTTCTCCCGACTTTGTGGACTCTCCTGAACTGTTTTGATGTACATGATGTAAATGTACATAAACAGTTGCAGACCCACAGTGTTAGCCGTATCAGTCTGACATAATAACCAACATTTACTCACATCTAATCAATATACTATTTTTTTTTTGTATTCAAAAGTCCATTATTCATGTAAGAAAACTCTAGAGGTAGGCGATAGGAACAGTAGCTGGAACTTTCTTTTCCATCCCAGGAGACTAATTGAAGCACTAGGACTGTATTTTGGTTCCTGGAGAGAGAGAGAACTTCTTGATTGGTTGGGAAACTCACCGCCTTTTGTTTTACTGGATATTTTTATACGAGTTTTGCTAAAGAACGACGGACAACGAATGAGTTTTAGTCTATGTGTATTTTTGATGACTAGGACTATCCTTAAGCCCCAAGGACAACCACCAGTGCTGTCGGTGAATTGCGGACACTTGGTGAAGGATTTTTGTTATAGGATTTTTACCAGGGTGGGCAAAAATCATTCCAAGACCGAGTCATGTAGCTCGATCTGGTAGAAAAATGTATTTTAGCCATAAAGAGATTCAAACTTAAGACGGAAACCAATTCCCTTTTTCTGCCTTATTTTCCAAGTATGGCCGACGTATCTTAAAATACGACTTTTGACGTATGAACTGATGAGTGCAGAAGTCCCAAACTGGTGATGCAAGTCGGTTTGACAAGGTGAGAACAATCATATAGTACCACGAGAAGGTTCATGCCACTTTTCTCACACAGCTTCTATTTGTTTGCAGCAGTAATCTGAAAAAAACAAACAAACGTTGTCCTTATTTGTTTGCAGCAGTAATCTGAAAAACAAAAAACAAAAAAACGTTGTCCAAATGGAAAAAACTCCTTGTGTTATATTTAGCTGCACATTTGTTTTCAGAAAAACTTACTGAACATTGTTGTGTGCAACATTTGCTCCTAGGCAAGGGACTACACACCAAAGACTCCGACCAAAGGACTAACGCAGAAGTTAGTCACGCAGTCTTCCACGGAGAACATTTAGCCAGACTTGGACATGGTAAAGGTCAGTAAAGATTTTAGTGACAATGGTCAGTCAATGGTAACAAGCATAGGCAAACAGGTATTTGGATACCTTAAAGTGACTACCTGTATTAAAGATGGTTTAAGGTTTTTTGTTTTTTTTTTGAGGCCCGGACACATTTCATATTACAAATAGTTAATAGGTGATTTGAGGGGGAGGGTGGTGTCCCCCATGTTAGCAGAATGACCAAAATGGTTCCCCTCTGTCAGGGCAGTTAAGTTAAGGCTGTTTAAAAACAATTGCCCACTGGAAATAGTAATGAAGGTTACTTAATCAGTGTGAAACCCGGACCTGTTTAGTTGAACACGATGATACACTCGCAGGAATTGAAGAAAGATGCACATGAAGACGTTTAACATCTCTGATTCTCCGTTTGATAGTTTTTATAGCCATCTGCTGCCATCTCCTGGAAGAATATTTATTTGTTGTGCCTGTCGATGTTGAATGCAAAATATTTGCAGTAATTAAATAACTTATGTAAGACCAATTAAGTAAAGTTGGACTTTTTTTACAGCACAATTTCCCAAAGTTTGGCTGGGCTCATACTATTGTATGGTATTGTAGTGCAAATCAAAAAAATTCAATTTTCTTTGGCCAAGAGGAGAAATGAAAAAAATGACAAAACAATTTAACATTTGTAGATCCGATGTGTACCACTACAAGACTACAGGAGTAATATGGGAAAGTAAACTCATTAATGCAGACTAGTCCTGGTTCCAGACACTTTACATGTCAAATCCGCTTCTTGAAGTTTGTTATTTTTTCCGAGCAATAAATTATGCTGTTCTAAAAGTAAAGTCATGAACTCTTCTGTTATGACTTCAGCTCCGTCTGAGTTTCGTAGCGAAGAATGTAGAATGTTCACTAGAAGCTCAGAATATGGTCATCAAAAACAGATGCCCCTGAGCCAAGACTGAGTGACATCGAGATGAATTATAACACCTGTCTGCACCTTTAAAATAAACATGCTGTACATTTTTTTTATTAAAATTTAAGAAAGAAAGGTCCATGTTTCCAAGCGAGGACTCCTGTTGTAGTGGTAAATCAAATGTCTCGCACTCAGAGTACCTGAGTGTCCAGTATGAGGAGAAGGGGTCTGTACATCTGCAGCTGTTAAAAAGTGTCTAAAATCTATTTAAAATTTGTCACCAGGAACTAAATCCATTTATTTACCTCTTGTCTAACGCTTGTCCTTTCTTGACCATGGCAATCTCCAACTGTTTTTTTCTATATCAGCCCTTCCACCCCCATTAAAGTGCATCTCCGGCCAAGCTGAACCACTCCCGACCCAGCCTGTACATCTCCAGGTCTGCAGTCGGGCCACCGTCGGTCCACATTCATGGGGTGCACGAACAGTTAAAATAACTACCGGGTCATGGACCGTCACATTTTGTTTGGAGGTGGGAAACTATGTTAGCTAAAGACTCCACCACCAGGCTTTGTAGTACAATATGTGGTTTTCGAAGAACGCGCAAGTTTTAAGACAAGTCTGGGGTTTGACGCGTAAATACAGACCGGAGGTGTCCCGGTTAGATCGGAGATGTACCGACCGGGTTGGAGGTAGTCCGGCTTGCCCTGAGATGCACTAACAGTGGTGCCTTCACGCATCTTATTGTCCAACTTCATCGTCTTCCTAGAAAACTTCCCAATATTCTAATAGTATCATAGTATTTTTGGTGCTGGTCCTAAGTGAGAATGGAAAAGTGACATATAGTCACTATAAGACATGTTGGTATTGTCAAACTTATCGATTTAGGTATCACAATTTTAAGGTGCCCGTGAATGTATAGTGGACATCACATGCATCCATCCTGCTTGTCACATGGTTAAAGATAGTACCAGGTGATTATATAATATACAATAACTTGAACTAGCTGCACGATAAGAGATTTTGGACAATGGAACTGCAAATAGGGCAGTGTTTCTGAGAGATGACTCACAAATACAGTATGAATGAGTGTGAATGAGGGCAGTAGCATTCACACAAACTGAGACATGTGAATGAGTTGTAAATAAGACGCATCAAACCTTTCTCGAATTACGTTGTGTTGTGTTAATGCTGTGGGTTTGTTTCCTTTTACTCCCCCACCTTTCATACTGCCAGACGGCTACATCCTTAACTATTGTCTGTCTGAAACATCCGTCCCCTTGTCAGAACATGTCCAAACTGAACCGTACTAATCCTTCTAATGCTGCCATTGTTTCCTCTCAAAATAAAAAAAAAATCTCAGCATATCCTCATTTCTTTGCGCCGCTGTCTGTGAACCATACATCAGAGCATATCTCACTACAACCATTTAAATATAAATTCGGCAGCTTCGGATGGTTGAGCAAAAAAAAAAAAAAAAGATCTCATTCGCTATAAATATCCTACTTTCTTGTTTGTTTAAGACTATATTTAGTAAGTAAACACAAGTCGTCACCATTAGAGTTATTCGGCTGATTTGTATTGTTGTGACACCTGGTGGCCATTATAGGTACTCTTTTTATTATAGCAATATTTATGGACAGCGTTAGGACAAAAAAAACAATTGTTTTCTTTTTAATTTTAATTTTTTTTATTTTTTACAAGCTGTAGTTCTTCCTGTACATTAAAAAGGTTCGAAAATATTTTTGTTGTTGTTGAAGATTTGCTGAACAAAGCTATTTTGCTTTACATGTAGGGCAGGAACTAAGAAACCACAAAATCTGTGATTTAGCAGCGATTTAAGTACATTGGGATAAAAAAGTGAACAAATGTTTTTTGTTTTTGTTTTTGTTTTTCTGTCTAAAAATCCTAAACCTTTCTCCGTTTTTTTTTTTTTTTTTTTCTGTCTAAAAATCCTAAACGTTTCTCCATCAGGTGTAAGGCATTTAGCTCGTGTCTTCTTTCCGCTCAGAACCTTTTAATTGTTCTGATTGTTGTGCGACAGCGCGGGCATCTGTGTGACGTGGATTTGAAGGAGTCAAGGCAGAAAGGAATGAGGCAACAGCCGACCACACACCTGTGAGAGGAGCAACAGACAGAAAACAAGGTCAGAAGGAAAGCGTTCAGTAACACCAGCCATTGTCAACACTTAGTAAAAGAGAGAGGGGAGGGGGCTGTACCCTATCGAGGCTATTATACAACAAGACGTCCAGGCGAAGCTGTCGACACGGTTGAAGGTTTCTGTGATGATGAACTGCTTACATTCTGGACACTGAGTCCTGCTCGGATAGGGTGGAAGCTTCTCCAGGTCCAAAATCACTACGGGAGCTGAGAATAGACATTCATATCTATATTATTACTGTACTGTACAAGACACCGTCAGGATGCACGGTAATGGCTGAAACCCACCAAAGTTATGAAACAAAGTTTTGAACGATACTTGAGTATATGTCTTGACATTACAAATTTCTGTCAGAATCAAATTCATTAACGTTGCTTTTGTACTGTAATATTTGGGAGTATGTCATGGTTTTAGAATAATTGTGCATATTTAATGGTCTTTTAATTTGAAACTACCGGTGCGGATGTGGTTCGACTGAACGGTCGGGCAGTCAGGTAAGCATAAGGTTTTGCCGCTTTTTTTTTTTATCTCTGTCACTCACAATGTCTTTCTTCCACTTTTTATTATTTTTTTATTTTTTCATTTCTTTTTTCTTTCGTTTGTACAATTGTTAATAATCTGGCAAAAAATAATCTGGCATTATAAAACAATACGTCATTCAGACTCTGTTACAAACAAAATAGAGTCTTAAAGATGTTTTATTTTGAAAATGTAATGGTCCTTCGATGCTTAGCTCCTTGCTACCAGTGCTAGTAAGGAGTGGTACTGGCTAACCAGTCCTTGGAACAAAAAAGGTTGGGCACCGCTGGTATACATGCAACTACTCTATAACAGACTAAAACATGGTTCTGCCGTTGATTATTATTTCTTCAAGCTACAAATATTGTTCATTGCTGTGTAATAAAAAAAAACCTTTTAATTTCTCAGGTTGAGAAACTCTGCTGCATGGACTTTACTAAATGCTTTTTAAGCTCCTGCGGACCACACGACAAGGCCAAGACCAGGTCTCTAGGGCGTTTAATGTGGCCCGCTTGATGAATTTTGAAAGTCAAAAAATGACGTACCTTTCCAAAAACAGGAAATTTTCTGTTCCGTAATCAGATATGGCCTCTTGTTGAGGAAATATGTTTTCAACGTTTTGATCATCAATAGAGCTCAGATTAGGCACGACATGAGGTTGAGTATCAGTGAAACTACCTGGTGTTGTTGGTGGTGGTTCAATGGTGTAAACATTTACGTCAGGTTCAGGAGGCATTTGAAAGGAAACATCTAACAGAGAAGGATAAAGTTAAAAGAAGAGCATGAACACACACAATACACACACTGATATATATATATTGTGTAATATACTGTATACATGTATATATTAAAACTCACTTTTGGAGACCTGACATTGAAGTTCAGTCTTCCTGTTAATGAGTTCTTTCAACTTAGCGTCAATGTTATCCATTTCTGCTTGATGTGAATTTGAGCATGTATTTAAGTCCTCTGCGGGTAAAAAACAAAAACAAAACAAAACAATAAAAACACAACTAGACACTGTGGAAGTATCACCGAAATACTTCTATGATAATATGGTTTTTCTTTTTTAAAGTCATCATTATCTTACCAGTTTTGAATAGCTGTTTGGATTCAATTCGGCTTTTTAATTCGTCAAATATACACAGCATTTTCTTCCTCTCCAGAAGTTGTTGACGCTTGACTGTCAGACCGTTAATTTCCTTAGAGATCCGTGACAGTTCATTGTTTGACGGCATCATGACTGAGCCCTAGCAAGACAACAGAAACAGTGTGTGTTTTAAAATATCTGCCCTTCACTCCGCATTTACACATGAATATAATTGTGACTATTGCATTTCACAGGTTCAATGACTTTTAATTTTGATATGGGGCCACATGATATGGGTCACATTCCAATATGTATATATGATTACTGTACCCACCTTGTGTACAGTAAGTGTTGACCAGATTTAAA